TTCATTTGCTCTAAAGTTGACCTTAGTAGCTTTAAGCCTCATATTAACCAGGTTTTTTATGTGTCATATTAACCAAATAGTGGTTTTATGTCTCATATTAACCAGATAGTGGTTTTATGCCTCATATTAACCAGATAGTGGTTTTATGYCTCATATTAACCAGATAGTGGTTTTATGCCTCATATTAACCAGCTGACAATCAGAAGCCATTCTATGGGACGGGGAACCTGCTAACTGGCACAGGCGGGACATTCTGAAGTCATTCTAGTGGACTGATAACGCCTAATAATGTCCATTTAATGGATGATAACATCCGAAGCGGGTGCTTGATGTATGTACCTGCTGCTGCTAGTACACCTGAATTTGTCTGCGAGGGACAATAAAGGCTGTTTCTATTCTATTCTATTCTATTCTATTCTATTCTATTCTATTCTATTCTATTCTATTCTATTCAGCTCTTTCAGGTCTATTTAGATGTTTAGGATCATAGTTCTGTTAGTGAACGTGACCCCTCCCCACTTCTGCCAAGTGGGTTAGTTATATAAAGCGAACATGAGAAGGTCAGCAGCTCCCAGTCCTCACCGTGGACACGCAGAACCAGATCTGAGAACTGGGCCAGTCCATGTGGCCATGCAGGAGTCAGAAGTAGGACAGCAGCAGTTACCCATCAGTTCGGATCAGGTCCAGGATCCATTCATGGAACTGGAATCCAGACGTGTTTCATAATTCTTATGTTCACCAGGCAGAGCAGAGCAGCGTGTGTCTGAACCACAACCATCGAGAGTCCTTTAACCCCAGGGCAGCAGGAGGGTTGAAATATGGTTTTATCAAACTTTTATGTTGTACAAAAACATTGTTGTGAAATGAGCGATCTGTGAAAACACACTAACAAGGTTTCAGTTTTTATTATTGTGGCTCAAAGGTTTCCTAATCTGTAAAAATAATTAAACCTCAGCACACACTGAGCTTTTACAACAATTACAGTTTCTATAAAAACTTGACCTCTGGTAATGACTGGAAACACTTTCACGCACAACTTCATTTATACTTTGTTTTGTTGCTTTACAATTGATAATTTAAATCTGTTTTGTTGTATTTTTATTTTCCCACCGGGAGGAGGCCCCGAGGAAGACCCAGGACACGCTGGAGGGACTATGTCTCTCGGCTGGCCTGGGAACGCCTTGGAGTTCCCCTGGAGGAGCTGGAAGAAGTGGCTGGGGAGAGGGAGGTCTGGGCCTCCCTTCTGAAGCTGCTGCCCCCGCGACCCGACCCCGGATAGGCGGAAGAAAATGGATGGATGGATGGATGGATGGATGTATTTTTAATTACACATAATATACAGACAGCTTTTAGGCTGTGAATCAAATTCAAACAAGACTTCAGTGAACCGTTGTCCCACATGATACTGCCACCACTGTGCTTTACTGTTGGGAGGACGTTCTCTGATCCTCCACTCAACTAAACTTTTACTGGTTAGTCTCATTTCTGCAGACGAGCCCAGCTCCAAAATATTTTATACTAACAGGTTAAATGCGAGACACCTTCACAACCACCCCCACCAAAAGAAATATAGATATCAAAAACTGTGATTAAAGCAGCATCTATTTTATTGTGAAAAATTCTGAGATTAGTCATATTTATGCAATGAAATTCATAATTCTGAGTTCAGATTTAGAATTCTGAGATCCTCTAAGATCAACTTCATTATTCTGAGGCCAGTCAAAATTCTGAGATCAAATGTCAGAAATAGGAAATTAAAGTCAGAACTCGTTGCCAGCCACATGGGGATGACATAAACTGACTGAGTGTGTGACTGACTATATGAACTTCGGTACCACTTTACAATAAGGCTCCCCATATATGAGTTATAGTTTATAGAAAGGTTATTAATTCATCTGTAAACACTTTATAAATCATTAATCAGTGTTTATTATTCATTAAGGATGGGAAAGAGACAAAACTGTGATTTCTTGCCAAATAGTGAGCCAAATCTGTTCATGTATATATCTAAAGGTGCTTATTAAACATTTCAGACTAGTTTACTACCTTGTAAGAACAATAATTTATTGAAAACACATTTTACACAATATTGTACTGTACTACCACATTATACATATCCACAGTAATCAAAGGGAGCCTTATTGTATAAAATGTTGAACAGTATAATAATAATATTGTCATAACAGAGCCTTATAAATAGTGTGCTGTTTTACACTTTACAATAAGGCTCTTTTATGGCATTCATACACGTTTATTAGTCATTAATAAATAGTGTACCTACTGTCTTACATTTACAATAAGGCTCCTTTTGACAGTTGTTAATATGTATAAGTAATAATTCAATATTATTTTTAAATATGTTTCCAATACATAATTGTGCTTATAAACCTAGTAATACAACGAGTAAAATAAGAATTGAACACGTCACCATTTTTCTCAGTAAATATATTACTAGAGGTGCTAATGACATGAAGTTTTCACCAGATGTTGGTAACAACCCAAGTGATCCATACATACAAAGAAATCAAACCATAAATGTCCAGAAATGAAGTTATTTGTAATAATGTGGAATGGCACAGGGGAAAACACATGAAGAAAGGGAGGTGTAAAAAGGCATGGAAAGCCAAGAC